ACGTGGGAGCAGCTTGTCTCACCCAAAGACTGGAGCAGTCCATGTGGAGGAGAGTTCTGTGACCTGCTCCTTGCTGCCAGGATTATATCTGCTTTTACCCAGTTACTGTTTGGTGTGAAATAGAATAGTAAGTCCAAGATTAGAGTGTCACATATAGGAATAGTAAGTCAAATAAGTAGTAAGTCAAAGGCCAGGGACTGGAACCAAAACCCAGTCAGCTATGGGCTTGGCACTGTGAATCCAGTAGATTTCCCACTAGGACACTTTGCCCTCAAAATGGGTCATTTTTAATAAGTGTTATCTGAAGAAAAGCCTGAAATGCTAAAGCCAGACGTCATCACTTCTTTGCAGCTTCTTTTCCTTAGGCTTGTCAGTGCCTGTGAGCAGTGTGGTTTTCTTTCCTAGATTGCTTGTGGTATGCACAATCTTGCAGGAACAACCCCATATTAAATAGAAAAGAAGCAGAATTGCTGTTTCCTGGAAATATGCTGCTTATGCTGTTAAAGATTGGAACTAGAGATGTAGCTGTGAGTTAAAGGTTTCAAGATAAACAAACCCAAATATCTTAAAAATACGGGTCTTTTCAATAGTGGGCATTGCAACAATTCTCTCTGCTTTTCCAGCTGCTTCTAATGGCTTTGCTGGAATTTTTTAGGCAGTCAGGCTCTGGCTCTTCCCTTGGGGGTCTCTAAATAAAGCTATCTACAGAGACAGCGTTCCACTTATTCCTCTTGTTGCTGCACTGGAGTTAGTGAGCACATATGCACATTTTGGTCCCTTTGCCATATAACAGGATGCTTTTGAAGGCAAGGAAGGTCAGCAAATTTAAGTGCTTTACATTTTGAGTACAAGCTGTCTCTGTCAGCACTGTTTTATTTACAGCTCTGTTTCACTGGGTGACTATATGCAAAACCTAGCATCAAGGGTGATATATACATAAAGGGGTCATGTTTATGGCTTCAGAAGACAGATAAGCTCTGTGGCTTATATACTTTGGCAGCTACGAAACAGTGGTGAAGTTGCAAATAGGAAAGACTTACACACAAAGACTACATTTTAATAAGCTGATATGCATCCTGAGTGTGGGGAATCCAGTTCTGCTGGGCAGCTGTCAGTGTTCCTGTTGCAGATATTGTTTGAAATTTCTGCTTTTTCTGTATTTTAATATTACTATTTAGATGACAAATGGACAGTAAAATGTACACAAGAAAGTTTGAGCTTTATTCTTATAGAAGGAAGAAGATTAAATGCTGAAGTGCAAGCAAAATTTAAATATCGAGGCCAGAAGATCACACAACAAGGTATTCAACCATCTGTAATAGCTAGAAACAGCAGACTGCCCCGTGCACGTGGGGTTATTGTATGAATCTGTGTAAGAAATGTAGATATATACTGTCTCTATATACACGTATACATACATGAGGTGGTATTTCTGTGCTTGCATACTGTCCCCATAGGCCAAATACACCTCATCTGTTCTACCTGTAACAGTTGTGAATGCAGGGTGTGATGCAGTTGTCCTGTGCCAATGTCCTGGCACTATGGCTGAGGTGGGGCAGGGAGCAAAGACAAAGGTGGGGCTTTTTGACACTTTGACACCCAAAACGAAGGTGCCATGTCTACCTGGCATGAGCGGGATGGACATGCACCAGTGCCAGCTGGAGGCGTGCTGGCCTGTGCACAGGCAGCTCTGTCTCCCGCCCTGAAATTTGCACTTGCATTACATGCAGGATGGGAAATTTGCCCTTGAGTAATTAGGAGGAGGTTTCCCAGTTGATTCCTGTGCTGTGACAAGGTGGCATTAGCTCCCGGAGCAGTGGTCTCCAACCCACGGCGCAGATGAGCAGGAGCATCAGATGGACCATCACAGCTCTGCCCCTGCCTGGGTTGTGCTGCTCAGATACCCATCCCAGGCAAGGAGCAATCCTGGAAAATGCTACAGCGCTTCCTTGGCCACCCTTGTGGTGTTCTTCCCATGGCACAGAGCAGGGCACAGGTCCTCTCCTGTGGCATGGGCGTGCTGCTGCCCGGAGCCGGCTGCCAGGCGAGGGGACACGGGAGCCACCAGCCTCCTGGCATGGGATGCTGTGTGTGTGGCACGAGCCTTTCCATCACTGCCTGCTCCCCAGCTGACTGTGGGGTTGCGACGCCGAGTGGCTGCAGCGTGGAAGAATATGTATGAATTAATTTCAAACGAGGTGCTGCCGAAGCCGGCGGCTCAGCGTGCGGCGTCTTTTGCAGGAAAGGGAGGGTAAGGCAGTCGTCTTGGGCAAGGAAGCCTCAGATCAGGGCAAAACAAGTATTATGGTCACTTTGGACAAAATAATATGTTTTTGAGAAATGTCAGCCTCTCTGATGGTTAACACTGAATTGGCAGGCTGTTCCGGGGCTTACATGAGTGAGCTTTTGCAATCACATTGTCACAGCAACAGAAATAGTCAACAGATGTCCCGAGGGAGCTGTCAGCCTGGAGAATGGCGTTAGGAAAGATGAGAGGCCGTGTTCAGCTCCTGCCCATATTGCTGTAGGAAAGGAGTTTCACCTCTTTGTTAAGACATTTGTAAGACAGAAGTCACGTTTACCCAGGAGAATATGTTGCAATTGATATTATATGGATAGATGCCATGTTGTTTTGCTTGGAGATGGCTACTAAATGGGAGAAAATATTTTTTAAAGTCTCCTGGTAACTTTGCTGTTGAGCTCTGCTACGCACAGAGCTGGCTGGAGTGTAACTAACACACTTGGAACGGATGCTAGCAGTGACCCCTTTAATTTATAAAATGTTCTTGAAGATCCTATAAATAGCCACATGCCTTATTTTAAGCATAAGTAGTCTCCCGTGCTCAGTGTTAAACTTGTGTGTAGCTGTTATCAGAATTGGGGCCAGAAAGGTTAACTTGTGCTTTGCAGGCACAGTTCTGGTCTCAGATGCAGTCCAGGCTTTCAGAAAGCTCAGCCCTGGAGGAGGCTGCATCTTCAGGCTCTGCTGACTCTTACGGGCAGTGCCTGGCTCGGCAGCCCTGCTCCAAGCCAGGCGGGTCAGGGAGAGGCTATTATTAAGCTTTGTTTCCTCGAAATGCTTTCGATAGCAAGATCTGATTATGATGTGGTCTACTTAGCCAGAGATGAGCCTCAGCTGGGGCTCCTGCTCTATATGCCGCAGCCGGGACTTCACTTTGGAAATCTGTTGGCGTCTTGCAAGAGCAGGAATGTTCTGGGGGCCCAACCACCAGAGGTATGAAATCTGTGCTGTGTGTTTACCTGTTCGGGTTTTGCTTGGAAAAGTAGATGTGGGAGTAGTGTGATACCAAGACAGTATTTGGTGTCTTATTCTTGTAGATGGGAGTGTTTTGTTTATCTGGAAAACTTCTGTTGCAGCTTCAGACATCTTGTCCCACGGTCATTTTGCTTCCCCGAGGAGAGGGTCACTGACATCTGCATCTGTGGACATAAATACTCTGTGAAACAAAGCAGCTTTGCTGCTCTCCCTCCCTCCCCTTGCAAACTTGCACTTTGGTTACAGCTGTGGCGACTCGGGTCTGATTATCAGGGATGTTGTAGTGGGTATGGAGTTGGTTAGAGCCGGGGTTACCCTCTTCAAGAGCTGGACTGTGTATTTCAGTGTTTGGAAATCAGGCAGAGGAATATCTGGGCTGGGCTGAACCAGAGGGACATGGAAAGAAAGGCCGATCCTGACGCTGGGACTTGGTGAGTTTGGGAAAGTATTGGGTTAAATACAAACACATCTGATCCTAACATGGGTTGCTAAGAGTTACCTGCTGGTAAGGATGGTTGCTGGATGCCTCATCCTCTTTAAGGCTGTGAATACAGGCTCTGATGAGACCTTTTCCCTGGCCTGGGTATTCAGGGGTGTGAGACATGCCCAATGCTCTGCCAAGGATTTAAGAGAGGTTGTGCACCTGAAGCTTTATCTGCCATGGTGGGGATGGTAGCTGCACGATGGTAGCATCATGGAAAAGATTGCAAAAATGGGATTTCTGGTAAGTCTGCAGCCACTGGCCAGGGGTGTCTGTCCAGGGGACGGTGCCCAGAAATTCTCAGGTGAGAGATGCTCCCCCTGACCGGCTCCTTAAAGGATGTTGGAAAGCTATTTCCACCCCCTCGATAAAGCCATCATCCACTGTTGTGGCTCTGCAGCGTGAGACCTGGATGTGGCTTGGGACATTGGACATTTGAGTGACTGACTGAAAAAAATCCTAACTTTAGGGTGTTTTTTTTTTTCCAGATGAGACTTTCTTAATTTCTATTTACTACTGGCCCTAGGAAAATGAGAGCAGTTTTCCTGGTATATGCCAGAGCTTGGGGAATAAAAGCTGCAATCCATAGAAAGTCAGTAATCAGATAGATGGCTTAGCACTCAAGAAGCACTTGAGCCACACGTGATTATTGGATTATTTTAAGGCTATTAGAACTGCCTTACTATGCTTCTGTGCCACATGAAAACCTGCATATGTGTGTACACATATATATGCATATACCCGGTTAGCCTATACGCATTTATATATATACATGTGTGTACATAATCTCAGAAGCCAAAATAGAATCAGCTTTCCTCCCAGCCAGTAGTACTTTCATATGGTTTAGAGCAAGAGAGATCTCCAGTTACAGTTGTGTGCTCCTAATCACCGTGCTCCTGCAGGAGCCACGTGAGCAGCCTCATTCATCTACTGATGGCTGTGAGAAAGCAAACAGGTTGTCACAACAAATGTTCCTGAGCTGAGTCCTAAAATGGCTTCTGTAGCATGAGGGGTTTGTGTCCAAATGTTTTTTCTGCTCTTGTTGAAGTGCCAGTTCTGAAGAAATGTCGAAAATCTGGAACAAATCCAGCACTTGTCCTCAGGGATCTTTGAAAATTCATGCAACTTCTGAAATTCTCACAGGACGGACAAAGGAAGGATGCTTGTGATTCATTGTTATTTTGAAAACAGTCTTTGAGTTATAATTTCCATCGTGTTTCACTCTTCCCTTTTCCTTTCCAGGGAGTGAAGCTGATTTTAGCTCTTCAAGCAGCACAGGCAGTATTTCAGCTCCTGAAGTCCATATGTCTGCTGCTGGAAGCAAAAGATCTTCTTTTTCCCGCAAGTAAGCAAAACAATTTTTCCTGAGTACTGCGAGTGTTGCTAGTGCAAAGATAGACTGCTGTGTAAGGTCTTGTAGTTCATACATACAATACCAGCACTGTGAGTTTTAAAACAATTTGGGTAGCGTTGTGCTGTCGGGCAGCAGTTACACTGATGAGAACTGTGATATGAGAAAGAAAATAGAAATGCTGTAGTAGGAGCACAAAAGTTGTCAATATGCCAGATCAACTGACTGGTATTTTGTTGTTGTTTATTCCTAACAAGCATGAGAGATACAATCAGGTAAGGCAGGAAAGGCATTGGTTGGAGCGGAGGAGGAAACAACTGGGTGTATGTTAGTTAACAGCAGTATGCTTCTAACCAGTTAATCTTAACCTTTTGGTCTTATCACTTCATTTTCTCTCTGTAATAACTTGTCAGCTCAGCATATACCTTTACAGATCATTACCTTATTTTTTGTAGGAAGATGTAGACGATATTGCCTTTGGCCCTTTTTTCTTAAATACCCTCGCCCAACCTTTATATAACTAAAACTCTGTGCAAATAAAAAACCCCTCATAGTCATCTACCTAAATGAGCCTTTCATGAAGGATTTCTGTAAGATTTCTCCTACCACGTGTGAAGGGCAGCTCAGACAGCTTGTGCATACAGGGGCGTTGGGACAGAGCAGCCTGCCTTGGGCTCTGCCCACGCAATCCCTGCTGCTTACATGTTTTGGAGTGGGTGGAAGGAGTTCAGATTGGCAGGACTGGTTTCCTGCCCTGTGCAGAAGAGCTGGCAGGAGAGCTGGGACCGGCAGCGGGGAACCCCGTATGCTTGAGTCACACAAACGTCCCCAAGGTTGCAGCATGCCCCAGTGTACAGAGATCAGCAGAATGATGCTTCATGAGTGGTTTCCTATCTGTATCATGAGACTGTCAGAAAAATAAACATTACTTAAGCTCTCTCTAGATTAAATCTAACAAGTAAATTTACTGGCTGTGGGAAAAAACAGTCCTAAGTATAGTACGAAGCTCTAAAATCACCTTACTTTCAGTAAGGTTATGTGTCCTTTCATATATTATGCTGCATTTAAATATAACTTTAAATTAGAGCATACTGACCTACTTAATTGGGCAGAAGTCCTGTGTAGTAGCGTTCCTTCAAATGCATTGCTGTGTTACACACAGTCTGTGCAAGTCCTGCCCCACACCAGAGCTGATGCTGGATGAAGTGGACAGAGATGTATCCTTTGCAAATATGTTCTTTTTTAACTGTTTGACTTAACTTGCTATGAAACATTTCAGTGTTGTCACAAACCACAGCCCTGCACTTCATTGTAGAATAATTATAAAATCACCCAGACCGCAGCAGTGTGATGAAGGTTTGCAGCAGCCACTCAGCCATCTGTTCCTTATAAACTGTTCCATTTCCAGAGAAGGGAGGGAACGAAGTCAAACAATCTTAAGAAGAGATTTTGCTTCATAATTCTGTGGTATTTAAATTTTTGTGTTCAAGCCTTCTCTTTCACTGGCTGGATTTGCCTTTTTCCGTATTTTTTTGAAAGCTGCCCTTTCATTACAGTTTAGAGGAACAACTTCCCTGGGAGGTTGGAGGTAGCAGCGTGGTAGTGCAGGGAGGCAAACCAAGTGAGCAGGGGAGGAAGGTGCCCCCAGAAGCTGTCCTCAGAGCATCCCAGCCCTCGGGCAGCACAGATTCCAATTGCTTTCAAGCACACACAGTTGACAGATTATTTAATAAAGAGTGGGAAAATAAAGGTAGATATGTGTGCGGGAAACTGGAGGGAAGAAAGAAAAGGCTTTGCTTTCCTTTGTCTATTGTAATACCATTTCAGCCTCCTCTCAGTGGGGTTCGAACTATATCTAAACAAATGAATAGCTGACAATGACAGCTGAAGCATCCAGGATGCCAAAGGCAGAAAAGGGCAGGACTCAAACAAAGTCTGTTTTCAGTGCACGCTGTGATCCCTCGGGCTGCTTGCTGAGGAGCATGAGAGCAGCCTTGCAGCACAGCCCCACGGGCGGGCATCGCTCCGCAGGCCTGGCCAGGGAACGCTGAAGCATGGCTCTTCTGGCACCAACCCAGGCTGCAGTCCTCTCCTTACTTAATGGAGCCAGGGGTTCAGGGAACGGGGATGATCTGATGGAGTCACTGTGCTGCCCACATGTCCGAGGTTCCCTACGTCACGTAATTCAGAGTGAGAGCCCCACAGACAGTGAAAGAACATGCAGTAGCTGGTGACTGCAGGACGTTCTTTCTTCCCAGCCACTCCCAGTTATCTGTCTGGTTCAGTGTTAGGACAACTTTGTGCGTAAAATAAGGCACATAATGGGTTGTGTGATGAGGATAATGCAATATGCTTTAACCATTTTGGTTCCCCCTCCAGTCGTGGCCCTTATGGTCGGAATAATGGATCCTTGTCCTACAAGTCTGGAACCAGCCCACCTGCTTCCCGGGAAAAGGACCCTTTGTCAACACTGTGCAAAAACCAGCTGAGTCCTGCTAGCATCCATCAGAGTTACAGGGCTTCTTCAGCCAGCAGCAGCAACTCAGGCTCATACAAAGGGAGCGACAGCAGCCCAGTGATGAGGCAAGTCTTTATTCCAGCATCCCGGGGTGCAGCGCACTGACTGACCTCTGCACTCTAACGTGGGATCAGCTGTAGGAGCTGCCGAGCAGGTCACCGTGGTCCTCAGCATAGGTGTGACCCCTCATAGCGGTGGCTCGACAGGCAACAGGGTGCTCCATCCCTTGTAAAAGCTTTATTGTTTTGGCACTGTAAAGTTCAAGGTTAGTTTTAGTCAAAGCCCTTTGTAGTTGCTCTTCAATCCAAGTTCCTTCATAGAATCATAGAATGGTTAGAGTTGGAAGGGACCTTATGTGTTTTCATGCCATATATTCTCATGGGGATTTACTGGTTCTTTCATCTAAGGGTCCTTCTGCTTTGGAGAGAGTTGGGTGGGGTAGTATAGAAAGCATTATACACTTGCCCAGCCTTAGCCACCTCCCTAAGGAGCTCAGTGTCCTGTGTAAGATGGAGAACAGGTACCTGAGAGACCATGGGACACATTGCAGAGAAGAAATTGCCCCCACGCTGCTGCTGTGTCCCTCTCTCTCACTCTGACAACCCAACAGCCAAGCGTGTCAGATGCACACCTCACGTTAGACAGGGTGAATCTAGGTTTCGGAGTGCTCAGCTTCACAACTCGGGTGTGGAGCTGAACTCGGTCCATACGCTGCCTCCCCACACACCCCGTGTCTGCAGCTGGGTGTCCTGGCCAGTGCCCCGGCTCCCTGCTGTTGGGGACACCACCCGTTCTGGGTGAGGGAATGGCTAAGTATTTTAAAGTTAAATGACTCATTTGATATAATGGCACTGAAACAAAGTACAAGAAATAGTAAATTTTTCACTACAGCCACAAGTCAGCCATTTCCTCAAATACCATGATTTGCCAGGGGAAGTCCCTTATGCAGATGCTGAGGAGCCCCAGATGAGTTCAGCTTTGTATCAGTCAATGGGATGTTCTTCTTTTTGCCAGGACTAAAGGACTGTAGGAGTGGTGTGATGTGACAGTTTGTTTATGTTTTTTTTTTCTTTTCAGGCGATCAGGGAGATACAATTCTTGTGGTGAAAATCACAGCATGAAGCCACAAAATCCAGAGCAGTATTTGACTCCTCTGCAGCAGAAAGAGGTGACAGTACGTCATCTGAAAACAAAGCTGAAGGAATCTGAGAGCAAACTTAAAGAAAGGTAAATGCCACTTCAGAAATCGGAGTAAGAAAGATTTATTTAGGAGCATTTAGGTGTGGGAATCCTGGACGTTTTTACTCCAAAGTTTTCATTAAGAAATACAAAATATGATTAGTCTGATCATATTGGGGTTTTGATCATATACAGATATATATAGATACATATATTGATATGTATTTTTATATATATATATGCCTACCAGAGTGTTTTGTCATATTTCAGGTTTCAAAGCGGTCCCAGGGAATACGTACCATGCAGTTTAGTTATAAATATAGCTGTCTCTCTCCTATTTTTTGAACTTTCACAACAGAATAGTTTTAAAGGATATTTTTTACCAGTCTGATTTAGCGTTGAGACCTTTTATACATAAAACAGTTTCTACCTGCCAGCATGCATGACCTTAGTCTCCTGTTCCACCTCCCTCAGTGAGATATGACAGCGCCCAGTATCTAAGCAGCGAAACCACAAGCGGGCACACAAGAGGGGCCAGATGATCCTTGAGGTCCCTTCCAACCTGGTGTTCTGTGATTGTGACATATGACCACAGATGTCCCCCCTCTCCTCTAATGAAAGAAAAGCTCTTACACAAACCAGTGTGCCCACTTGTGTTTCTGTCGCTTAGATACTGAATTTTTCACAATAGCCCTTTGTGTGGAGGCTGAGCAGAGAAGTGACAATGTGGGTTACACAGCAACAGATGTTGTCTCTTTCACCAAACCCACACTCTGGGCGCTGGCTCTCCAGCACACCCAGCCCAAGGGCTGCTGGAATGGAGCCCCAAGGCACAATCCCAGGGACCTGGTGGTCCAGCTTGGGCCAGCCTGACCCCTGCCTCTGCAAGGGCTGGGTGTCCCGTAGGGGTCCCCTCTCCCCACCCACATGCGAGTCAAGGCAGCAGCCTCTGGCTCTGCTGCAAGCCTGCAGCCCCAAGCCATCCTGCTGTCTGAGGCCAGTGTTGGCTCTGGCTGTAGGTGACGAGGTGCTGGCAGGCACGGGGGACACATCCAGGCAGCTGTTTCTCATTTCCTCCAGGGTGAGGCAATAGGTGAGATGGTCAAGCACCATACTGGTTGGACCTAACCTAGATGCCACCACTTGCGCCTCAAAATGTCTGGGGTCATGGCATAGCCCAGAAGGCTGCTGGCCACGTGGCAAGATGGCAAGGTTGGTGGCACCAGTTAGCCATCAGTCAGCATCTCTTGGCAGCCAGCTGACATCTCTGCCAGCTCCCTCAGAGACCGCAGCAAGTAGTGCTTGGAGGCATTTGCCGCCTCCTTGGATCATCTCTGCAGCGTAGCCATCCTGGTGTGCTGGAGCCTCACCTTGACTCTTTAACTGACCAACCAGCAGAATTGTTACAACATTTTTGTTTTGCTACAGGGAGACAGAAATACAAGAGCTAAAAGCTCAGCTGGGACGGATGAGGGAAGACTGGATTGAAGAGGAGTGTAACCGTGTGGAGGCAGAGCTGGCCTTAAAGGAAGCAAGAAGTGAAATTAAACAGCTCAAGCAGGTTATTGAAACCATGAAAAACAGCTTGGCTGAGAAAGACAAAAAAATTCAGAAATACTTCATAGACATAAACGTTCAAAATAAGAAACTGGAATATCTGCTGCAGAGCATGGAGATGAGGGATGAGCAGTGCCTGGAGTACATGTGTGACTCAGAGGGGAAGCCATTAGCGTTGTGTGCCACGATGCCAGACAGCCTCATCACAGAGGACCAGGCTCTGGAGGAGGTGGCAGACAGTGGGCTGCTTCTTAATGAGGACACAGCTAACGGCACTGATTCATCTGAAGAGGGTTTGACCACCACAACCTTTGAGTTGAGTGATCCAGCTCCCTCCGGTTCTGCTGTGAATAAAGAGATGCTTGAAAAGGTTCTGGAGGAAAAACTAACTTCTTTCCAGGAGGAGGAGAACAGCAGCAACATGATGGTGGAACAGGCCGTCCAGACTGATGTGGTGCCATATAGCCTGGATGTGGAGCAGCTCATCCAAAACATCTTCAGGGCTCAAGATACCTGTCCTCTAAGCCCACCTTCTTCACTGAAGGAAATGGGTGAATTTTCTTTTGGAAGCTTCAGTGATTCCGGCATGATAGTGGACTTAACTCCAAGTGATCCAAACTCTGCCATCCTTTTGTCTCCTATGGAGTCTCCATGCAGGAAGGTGGAACACAGAGTTAATGAAAACCGTTTCATGAAAGAACTTGATTTTGTAGAACCTCATGATGACGAAGCCTTTGGGTATGTCAGTACTTTCTCTCAGACAGGAATAAAGAGGAGATACTGGAGCAGCAGTCTCCTCAGAGATGTTCTGGCTGTAGCAGCCCCTGTTGTACCAACTCTGGTGTGGGCTTTCAGTACTCAGAGAGGAGGAACGGATCCCATTTACAACATTGGAGCGTTGCTCCGTGGTTGCTGCCTGGTGGCTCTGCACTCTTTGCGCCGTACACCCTTCAATATCAAAACCTAAAGTCCACTCTGTCCCTGGGCACCAACTGGCTGAGGCACAGAGAAAGAAAGATGAGAGAGATCATATAAGTTATTGTATATTCTGGCAGAGTCCATAATTTTGCTTTTGACTGTTTGATTTGCACTATCAATCGGTTCGAAAACACGTTCCTTGTTTCAAAATAAAAAAGCTGAGCCCTGTAGTTCCACGAGATGTTTTTAACTGGTGTTTTTAGCAGTACTGCTGCCTACAGAAATAGTCCTCCTGCTCCCAGGCACTGCGTCCCTCCCCTGCCCTCATGTCCTTCTGGTGCCAGCGCCTCTGCACAGTGAAGGTGACCAGGGAAACCAAGCTCAGGTTCACCGGGCAAAAGCGCTTTGCAGGGGCTGAAGGGCAGCACAAGATGCACGGGGGGACAAACGGCCAGAGGGAAGTAAAGTATTTCTTTAGGCAGCACTAACCTGAAACATTTGTGAAACTACAGTGTTAAGCGACATGGAGACTCGTTCCCCCTAAGGGTATCACATCCTGCTCCAGAAAGCATGCTAGCGCTTTCCATTTGTTGTCCAAAGTGTCGATTCAATTTAGAGGTAAAACCCATATTCCCCCGGCAGCTTCCAGCACATCGTTCGTGCCTGTCGCGTGTAGTGCTCTTCTCCATCCTACAATTGCTCGGGCATTTCACTGGTCTTGTGCGTATACGGGGACTGTAACCAAAAATGTACGTTGTTGGGAGTCTTGAGCCGTGTTACGATGATAAGTATAGGTGTGGATACACTTGGAATCTCAATGTTGTTTGGAAGTCTTAATGTATTGGAACCCAATAGTCTTTCGAGCCCTTTGAAATACTATGTATAAATGTATTGTGTTTTAACTTATTGTTTATTTAATTGCTCTATTGTAAATTACCTTTATAATCACAAGTTCAGTAAAGCATGTTAGATATGTCAAATGTGTGCAAGTGTTTTGTTGTAGCAAAGCTATAAAAAACAGCCCATGTCAGGCACAGGCTGAGCGGGAGGAGACACCATACCAGAGCATAAGGAACCTCAGGACCTGGGGACCAGCTGGAGTGAGAAAGCCCCAGCACAGCTCCAAACCTAAGCACTCAGCTGGCAGAAGGTGGCCCCAGTGGGTCTGTGGCCACACACACCAGCCCCTCTGCCGCACCCACCCTGTGTTAACAGATGTGAGTCACCTAATCCTTAACCCCATGGAATCTCCTAGAAACCCTATTTTCTCATTTCTGCACTCCCAGAAAAACAAGTCTTCCTGGCACTTGAGAGGTCCAGAAGGCCTTGTGTAACCCGGCCAGGAGTCAGGCAGTCTCGGTGTACATGCCAACATGCAACTGTGACCAGCAAACCATGAATTCTCTGTGCCCAAAACTCAAGATCTGTGCAGAGATCAGAGGGCAACATGACCCAACAGGTGAAACCGCGAGATTTGTCTGTCTCCATCCAAGTTTTCAATACCACCTCCAGCCATTCAAACCTCACTGCCCTCCTGTTTTCCCCCTCAGGAAAGCAAGGGTAGCATTTCCCTGTGCACCCTGGAGCAGAAGAGGTCTAGGGAAGCCTGACAGGGCTGTGGATTGCCCCGCAGCTCTTGAGAGGAAGGGAGTTATTAGTAAGCCACAAGGGAGGAGGAATAATCAGCCATCAGGCAGGGAGCATTTCCAGCACTCCAGCTTATAGAGGCGACCCAGGAGACCTGACACATCCCTGACATGCCTGGGTTCTGAATCATTTGTTTGCAACAAAAATCCAAGATGGTTCATTAAGCATTATATTATGGAAGAGAAATCTAACAGACAATGTGATGTAACATTGTGCCAAGAGGTCACAATGATGGCCATCAGAGCATCTTGCTTTCTTTGCCAATAGCTTCCATGCTCTCCTGCTGCCTCACGTTCTGCAGGCCAGCAGCTGTAACGTAAACTTCACACAACCATGGAATTTCACCATTCCTAGGGATCTTCTCTTGGGACCAGAACACATAACAAAATGTCTTATTCCTACCTTGAGTTATATCTGTTCAAGGCTGAGAGAGCAATATTTTATACCAAATGTTACCAACTGTATCACAATTTTGGATTTCTCTTTGACAGCCACTATTGTTTAAGCGATCTTCACGTAAGTGGTGGTGAAATGGAGCATAATTTAGAAGAAAACATCACCTTCAATTCTAGGAGAGACATTCATCTGCAGCAAGAGGAAACAAAGCTGCACAACCCTACACTTACATTTAAAATTTCAACAGGCCAAACTCATTTTTTCGTTTACCTCTAATATTTCACTTCAGTCTTAGCCATGTCTCACTTGGATCCCCCTCGTGCTGCATGGAGCAGCTATGGGAGGACCATCAGCCTCCAAACATTTCAATAAAAACTCCTGTCCTTTCTTTCTGAGTTTAGAAAATGCTTATGCCTGCACCCCGAGCACATTGGGACATCATCTCAAATGGCACAGGCGGGGACGACAAGCAGCCCATAGGCAAAGGGTAAAATAGCAGATGTCTGCCTGAATTCAGGCTTATAGCACAGGAACTGAGTCACCACAGGAACCTTCCGGGGCTGAAGAAACACCTGTTGATAATCCCATTATGCATTTTTCTTTCTAGCCCAGGAACAAAAAAAAAAGCCTGCCATTATTATTCAGCTTAAGAGGTACCCAACATACTAAATATTAAAGCACTTTTTTATACATGTCCTACATGAGAAGAACCAGCGAGTATTTTGCTCCAAAATCCTTCAGACAAAAGAACACAAGACATTAGAAATGTGAACGACTATAGCACAGTCAGGAAAAGGATGATTTTTCAGTCATACTGGCAGGTTAATCCTCTACTCCTGTGAAACCCTCCAGAAAATATGCACAGAACTGTTGCCTTCTAAAATGCATTTTAAAATCTAACATTTCTCAATGACTTCTTTCATATGTGAAAACTGCTGTCAAATCAGTTGACTTGTGCAAGGTTTTAAGCAACATGACAAGCACACTAAACCTTTTTAAAAACTCTTTTCCATTACTAAGACCGTTAAAGGTAATTCTAATTTTTTTTTCCTCGATAACTTACCTTTTAAGCAAAACTTGTGACAGAATCTACTACAACTTAGTTGAAAAATGTATTTTTTTAGATAGGCGTGATCTAGTCAGATAGTCCCTCATTCCTTCCCATTCTTTTACAACTTCACTGTACATACAGGGAACAAGTCTCAGGCACAGACTTTGCTGTCCTCACTCATCATCTGTCACAAGATAAGGAATCCATACAGCCCATGAATCCAGGGATAGCAGCATCCACACAACAGATGGAGAAGGCATTCACTGAAGCTCTGGGCTGCACATAAGAACCGCATAGATTCCCCTCATCCCATACACCTTTCCTTCCAGCAAAGATTAAACTTTTCTTCTTCATTAAAGCAGTGTTGTCTCCTACTGCAAATTTGCCAGCAGGCTTTACCAGAATTCCAGTGTAAGCATAGAAAGTGTAGAAAAAAATGGAATTTGAGAAGTGCTGTAAACTAAACTGAAAATTTTCACACTAGCTTTGTTAACAGGACGCCATTTTCTTCAATTATACTACCTATGCAACCAGTACAAGGTGTTAAGAGTTTTTTTCCCCTAACTGTAGGAAGAATTCCTGCTAGAAATAAAAATTTACAAACACAAGTATGTGATTAAATTGCTCCCCTACGTTCACAAAACCAGCCTCCATAAGAAAGGAGCAGCGTGCACTGCTGCTGTGCAGTGATGCCACTGCTGACACCCACCGCAGTGTCCCATGTGAATGGGCATGATAACTCAGGAAGCTGCAAGTGACAAAGTGACAAGAAATCCACTTCAGTGTTCAGCTGTAACTTGTGCTCTACCACAGCATACTCTACCAGGAATACACGTAGGGTTGCAGGTCATCCATAACAAGTTATTTTCTTCTGCACAGGTGAGTATGATCACCCATGGAAAACTCCGGAGTATTTATAAACACCTTTTTATAAAGGCAAAAGCAGACATTCTTTATCAGGCAGGAAGCAAAGGGTTCTTTAAAACGGTTTAATTACATGTTTCAGGTAAGCACAGACAATACAGTAGATTTCCCACCACTGAATATTTACATTCTTTTCTGTAGGCTTGAGCTGTTCATTAAGAGTGTCTTTCAATCAACATCCTTGCTCAATCACTTTTGCGGCAAAGAAGGTGCTGGAATAGAACTATTGCAGGAAACATCATTCCATCAAGGCATGATTTTCTGGGTTTTTTTCTCCTTTAACAACCACCTCGTAGTAGTTCAGGGTATTTTGGGAGAATCCTGGCTTCCAAGATGACCTGAAGAATGCATTGAAACCAAGCAGTGTGTTGAAGTCCTAGAAATACTGAAATCAATACCGATACGTATGCTGTAGAGCTGAAATTCTCTTTTTCACTGGCACTGCCACTGATGCCTGGTTTCTGTTAGGACAGTTTTACACCAATTTTGTTTTGTTCCTTTTTCATTAGCCTTTGGGCTTCTTTCTCCATTTTCTTCCGTTGTTGTTCTGCTGCTCTTTTTTCCCTTTCTGCTATCTTCTGTTGTCTGTAATTAAAGAAAACATGAATTGATAAACAACAGGAATCCAGTGTTCAGCATGGTCATACCTTAAGCTGCTGTCAATAAATAGGTTGTTGTAACTGATAAAAACAGAGCTTCAGTCTGCCATAGTTAGGCTTGGAACAGTTACTCCTTTATTGTGCTGAAGTCCCTTTTTTCAGATTAGTCTTAGGCAGTAATATTTGTTCAACTATTTTACAATCTAACAGCCACTCAATTCTCAAAGATTCAGAGCAATAAATCAGGGAAGAGAGTATGACAGTTAGAAGGCCTGGCGCTATTTAGAAAAAAAATAACAAATCTGTCTAATGCCCTGAAGATTGCCCATGTTTTCAAATTCAGACCAAAACAGACTACCTGTCTAAAACACTGACTTGTCTCCTCCCTTTCATCATCAGTAGTTATCCTCTTTGTAATGCAAGTATTATAAACATTTTCCTTATGATCAGATGAGATGATAACTTCTAATACTCCCTTTCACATGTTCAGGATCTGTGTTGTCCTCTATTGTTCAGTAAAAATATAAACTATAGCCTTGAAGGAAATAAAAAAATGATTCAAAAGTCTTCAGCTGTGTATCCTTTTAGCATTATTTCTTATCACTGCTATAGAACCTCAGACATCACTATCTGCTAGTTCAAAGAATCTGTCTACAGAAATAGGTTTCCAATTTCAACCTATACAATTCTATGATTCTATGAAATGCACAACTGACTAGAGGAAAGGAGAAAAAAAAACCCAACACAAAACACCACTCGTTTTATTCCCCCGTTTCAGCCAGAACACATCACAGAGTGGCGCAGGGGGAACAACTGGTCCAGACTCCAAGTGGGACATTGCAGCTCTCTACTGAATTGCATAAGTAGCAATAGATGGCATAAGGAGGTCACTCCTGCTTTGGATTCAGTTTATTAGAAAAGAAAAATTTGCTACGCTGCTTGCAAGAGGACTTTAAAAATAAAGCTTCATTAACTTGAAAAGGCAAAATTTAACATGGATTCAGTAAGAATAAAGACTTGCTTATTTAAAGAGAATAAAGAACTCCAAATGACAAGGCAGTAAGGAGTTAATCAATGTACCCAAATTACCTGTGTGCATCCACTTAAGTGTATAAAACATCCAGAATTAAAAACTGTCATCACCCGAAGCAACTTTCTCTGGTAGATTTCAACTACGAACAAACTGCGCACACAAAACTTAGAAATACTTGAGGTACAAAGACTACATATTACCTTTGCATTGGACAGGAGAGGGACTGCACTTATTAAGTCCCTTCATGGTTTCCCTTGATTGATTATTAATGGCTAGAAGTTTTCCTGTACTCTATTAAGCTGCTCTGCTGTCTGTCACGGAAAAATGAAATTAGTCATTCGCATCTATCTCCCAAGGTAATGGATGCCCAAACGTTGTGGGATTTTTTTTCATTTTGAGATCATGACCCGCTGTTCTACATTCCACCAAAAAGCTGGATAGTTGACAGTGCTGTCAGTGTAGCATATGCAGTGTAATAATATTTGCCACTTTACAGTAGCAGATTTTCTTATATTCCCCACACCTCTGAACTCACACAGAAGGGAAGAAGCTGTATGTACACCAGCCAGCACAAAGAGCCAGTGGAGCTCTAAAAAGCCACATGAGGTGTTAAGCAATGCTGCTATTCATTTGCAATTCCAAGGTGAAGAAAGTCATAGCAGATCATGTTTCCCTTCCCCCTATAAACTGCACGACACAGAACTCCTCTGCATATTGAAGTGCTTTCCATGCCCTCTACCAGCTGAGTAATTTTACCAGATTTCAGTTATGCTCAAATGAGAAGAGACCTTCACATAACCTCAGATAGAGGAACTAAGTCACCAAAAAATAATATAAACAAGTAGCTTACCACACAGTGACACCTTTCCACTGCTATTTCACTTGGTCATTATTCAAAACATTGTTCTCTATTTCAAACTTCCTGCATGTTTTCAAGTTACTGCCTTTCAGGCTCAGAAAGGTTTCATTTCTCAATAAAGGAAAAGCCTATAACAAATTGCAGCCATACCTGACTCACTTTTTCTGGGTTCCAAAGCAAGGAGTTTAGCAGAGTTTGGATGGAACGATACCGGTTGTTTAAACCAGGAAAGTATTAATTCCTGATGAGAACCTTGCTTTACATTCCTAACACAATTTGTATCAAAATGCACCAGCTTCAGTCTACAGGTGCAGATAGGTATCACAATGTGCAGAAGAAACTAAGTTCTAACTAACTTCAATTAACTGAAAATCTAGCTTATTATCCACTACACATGCTGGAAAGTTTCGTGCATCACAGCCCACAACCAGCAGGGGAGTGGCAAAAAAAACCAAAATCAAACCAAACCAGACTACAGAACTTAGTAGGCACCAGTAGCCTACTTCTCAGCAGTGTCTTTCAGCGTGCTTTGATTCCAGGAAGCATTTGGCTAAGACACGCCTGAATACAAAATGAGCTCCAGCAGGTCCCCAGACACAGCTGGCTAAGGGAGACCCTTACTTTTTCTGCACACTCATTTCATTCTCAGTGAGCACTGCTGGAGTACAGTCAGCACGAACACTCTGAAGGGCTGTGGGGACTCTGTCCCCCATTTAGCAGTCTGAAGTCTTCAGATTATTTTGTAGACCAAGATGCAGTCTTCTAGCCCTAAGAAGAGACTCCAGCTCACTTCCTTATTACAGTTGAAAACAGAGCCAGGTTTGTCAAGCACTGAAGTTTTATATTACGTGTCAGATGTAAATTACAACACAGATGTCTACTGCAAGACAAACTATAAACCCAGAAGGTATGTCCTGTCAATTTCGCTAAAAATCAGCCAGCACTTTCCTAAATTACAGAAATACATTGTAATTCGATGTGTCATGAATAAAACAAAAGTTTTACTTCACACAGCTGGGATACCGCTTACACAATGATCAGTTGTACTAACGTGGCCACTCAGAGCTGGCCAAGTGGTATTAATACAGCTACAGTTCTGGTCATGTTCTTTCTATGTACTTGAAATATTTGGACAGAAACACATCCCTTCTAAAACAAGTTGATAGTTTTTATTAAGGCCAGGGAAGAATTCTATGAAAATTAGCTACTTGAGTTGAAGCTCTCAATAGTAAAGATGTCAGGCTGAAATCAGCTTCAACCAAGTAAGATGACACTGCAAAAACCAGAATTTGTGGGTAAACCACAGTACTATCGCTATGTAAGAGATCTCTGTTACGAAGTATTCTGGAGCAAGAACCTGACAACTGGCAGACAACATACTTTTGACCATCATGGGAATATCCACTACATAAATTTTACACTCCAGAAATAAACTTGCATAATTTTTAGTAGCTAATTTGTATTAAAAAAGTCCCTGCCTCAGAAAGTTTGAGTACTTCTTTTCCTAGTCCAAAAAACATCTCTAATGGAATGTGGCAAGGGTTAAATAACGTACAATGCGGTCTCTGCAATTAGCAAAAGTAGTTGTTTCATTTCTCAGTTCAAAAAAAGCACTATTTCTCATTGCCTTTCTTTCTTTCTCTGGTGTATCATAGATTAAGTCTCAGGAGACTGCACTTCAGAGATTAAAGATCATACTAAGCCTATTGATATTCTTTATGGGAAAAGGCACTATCCTTGGAACAAAACCAGCCCAAAGGCACATCATTCATATCACAAAGGTTGTACTTCTGTGATACATTAGGGAAAGGCAAGACCTGAAACAGTTTCAGTACTGAAGTTAAAATAACCCTCAAGATATTGACCAGACAGTACACATAGAGGTATCTGGCTGAGTTTGCAAAAATATTTGCATTACAACCCTATTCTCACATGTTAAGCTGCTGCAGAGCAAGACTGACAGAATTAGAATTGGTTGAATTTATTATCTATCATTAATGCATCAAAAGTGTGCTGCTGACTTCCCTTGTCTTATTCCACTGGTTGAAAAAAGTAAATTTTCCTAAATAGTTCACCAGAATTCTCTTTTTTTTTTTGCAAAAATGTATTTTTTTTCCTTTAAAGATTCAGAGTTCTAGAATGGTTTTTGAACATATCATGTTCTTAGTTCTTATCATCAATATTATCCCACTGAAGACATGTATTTGGGATTTTCTGAGTAGAATGAGAGCAGTTTAGGGAGCTGAGGCAGGTTATCTGATGATGTAGCAAGCAATTAAAGTTTGATAAAACCTTGAAATGAAACAGGTTAATGTAAGTCATTGCCAATTCAAATCATTGTGTGTGATTAGCTTAAACTCAATCTGCATCTCTTCACCCTTCATACTCCTTCCTCGTGTTCTTAAGATGGAAAAGTATTCACACTAACTTTTTGCAAGACACTGATTTTACATTCAAGCCTTATTAGCTAGTTTCGTTAGCTAGAGAAGCATAGCTCCTACAGCAATTCCAAGCACACCTTCTACCCTGAACTACTTTTAGTTTACATCACACAGTTATGATCCTTTTTATAAGGATATCCACTGGCATTTTACTTCAAGTTGAAACATATTATTTGTACATAATAAATTGCTGGGGTTGGGGGAGCACATTGTTGGTTTTTTTTTTGCAGGGTGTGTGGGAGGGAGGGGGAAGGTTAATGTGTTGTTCCAATGTTCCAGTGATTCCAGATTTCCCCTAGTATCTTATCTGCTAAATTCATTAGATTCAAAATGTATTCTGCCAAGTATGAGTTACATAAAGATTTAGGTGCATAAAAATTATTTGCCTTAAGAATTGTTTAACTATGCTTAGCACTTACCAGAAAGGTGCCACAACAAAACCTGTATTTGATTCTTTTACATGTAAAAAGTTTACACAGCGTTAGATTATTTTCAGTTACCTAAGAACTTCTTCTGCCTGCCAGGCAGCATCTTCCTCTTCTTCCCAGGCATTAGTATTTTCTTGCCAAGTATCCAAGTCTCCCAGTTCAGGCTGAAACAAAAGAAGAGAAGCTCCAAGCACACGGAAAAAATAGATAAAACACATTTATTTTTCACTGTAACGCTTCAGACTTCCAGAAATATTTGAGATATGACAGTACTTCTCAGCTTATTGTCTGTGTTTTCCTCTGCTCTAATGCTGACTTTTTCCAGTTAATTGTTAGACGGTTTTTTGGATTCTATTAGTGGGTAACAAAGGAAGGAAGGAAGGAAGTACTGGAGTGCATTTTTAGGAAGGAGAAGATTGAGCAGATGAAATGAGTAGATAGCATAAAAGATTTCTGGAGCTGCATGAACAAACCAACATGTACACCCACATGTTCGTGTGTCCAGTATCAAAAAAATCTAAACAAACCAACAAAAAACAAACCGTTTGCTCTTTTTTTTAGGAATTTACTGTGTAGAATCCAAAACAAAAAAAAGTATAGTCCATTGTGTAGAAGATTTGCAAGTATACGAGTGTTTGGAAGCTTCTTACCTTTTTATCACTGATCTGTTAAGTTTCCCAGTAGAATAAATTAGTTAAAATTAGATAAACTACTTCATTGCTTTGAACAAAATATTCAATTTTAAACAATTTACATTATTCCACAACTATTCCTCTTGCTTCCCACAATGCAGACCGTAGGCAGACTATTCCTTCTCCTACAGGACAGTCTTGTAACTGTCAAATACAAGATCAATACTTAGAGCATACTTACAGACTGGTGAATAAAAGGAATATCTTGTGTAGCTGCTAATCTGCTAGAGAATCCTGTATTTCCCTCTGGAATCCCAAAATTTAAAGGCTCTCGTTTTTTAATAACTATCTGAAAATATTCAAAAAAAGGAATGAAAAGTGGTAAGTCAAAGCAGTGCACAGATCCCTTGGTGATCATATAACTCTATGACTGTGAAGGTGCAACTACACGACACTGCACCATGTCTCATACCTGCTCAGGGTCTGGAAGCTCTACAGCCACATGAACTGGTGAGAGAAGCGAAATGCAAAAGACACAAGAATGCCCTCCTCCCCCTACTAGCTTTTTCTTAAGTCACATGGAAACCTACGACTGCATCAAGACAGAGAAAGGGCACAAAGACTTAAAGACCAAATAACCACATGTCCCAATACTCATATGAGCTACCAGTTATATGACATATTGGTTGGAGAAATCCTGCTTCCATGACAGGTCAGTGTAAGACACTACTCTTGAGGATAGTGCTGTCTGCACAGATATACTGCTTTGGAGCATGAGATCTCGTAGCTACCTCAATAGCATATCTGTGCAGACAATTCAAGTTTCAATGGTTGCACTGTAATTCACTATCACATCAACTGGTAAAGCTCTGTACTGATTTGGCTGAAAAACATGCACTAATGTTTCTCCTAAAAGGCTTATTAGCAAATTTAACATGTTTGCTAACATCACCTATCCCTTATTTGTCATGAACTCAAGAAACCAACTTATTTATTTCATTTAGCTTACTTTAAGTCTCTGCTGCTTCCAAAATAGGTAGATTCACACTTCCACAGACTGTACAAATGCTAGTACCAATGCAAGAAAGGAAACAGGACTAGACCATCTTATTTAGCAATGACACACTCTGTTATTTGACTGAAGCTCCATTTCCAGACATTGTAAATATGAGCAGTTAATGTGAGTAGAATCCACTTCAGACATCAGGGTTTATATTGATCCCATATTCAGTAGAAACACAAATGCAAATTCATAATTAAAAGTGGTAAGTAAGCAGGAATGTTCTTCACAGTGCCTGCAGTCATCTCTAGAGATACATTTAAAGGATACTCAGTATACAGTATTCAAACAGCATGGACTCTTCTTGAGTTTTGTTCTGAGCCTGAAGCTCATTCTATCATGTCATTAGATACAAAGGAGAAATCTACCTCTCCCCAGTCCTCCCTCTGCCCCCCAGATTTTGAAAGATCAAAATCCTTAGAAGAATTTAGTCCACCGAATACTGTAGATGCTGAACGTATAGAAAACTGACCCCAGTATCACCTCCAGTTCGTAGGACTACAGCCAGATTCAGGCTGAAGAGGCCTCAGGATGTCTGTGACCCAATCTCCTCCTCAAACCACCATCAGCTCTGAGGCTGATGAAGGTACTCTGGGCTTATCCACTTGGGTCTTGAAAACTTCCAGAGATGGGAGTCTGTACAACCCCTGTGGTAACCTGTTCAAGTACCTGACTGCCTTTGTTGTGAAAAACATTTTCCAATTGACTCAAAGCCCTGTTAAGTACCCAGCTGGAAGATTTCCACACAGAAACAAAACTTGCAATTGCCAGAAGTTTAAATCAGCATTTATTTATGGTGTTGATGCTCTGGTGGACATGCCCTTTTCTCTTGTCTCCATAATAAAAATGGGTATTTGAAGTGCAAGCTATTTTGAAATACCAGCTCCTCAAGTCCAGCCTCCCCAGTGTAACTTGGTGAAACACGTAACCACTGTTTGCTGAAACAGCAGTGCTGCTACCTCAGACTTAGGAGACCAGGACATGGAATGTGTCTGTTGCAATGATGGAAGGGTATGAGCACCAGTATCTTAGTGCAGTGGTTCCATTTGCAGAGTTAAAGTGACTTGAAGGTTCTCACATTATACCTCCCAGAGCTTTCAGACTAATAAATTATTCATAAGTTTCCAATAACATTAAGACTAGAGATGTAAACATGAATTAGCATCACATTCATTAAGATCTCAGAGTCAGTATTTTTAATTGGACATTTTAGCCTATGCATCAGTACCTATCTTCACTTCAATAGAACAGCTTAATTTTACCAGCAGCACTTTCTATTTTAAAGCAAGGAAAATCCTCTGTAAGTATAGCTGAAGGTGCAATACTTACTTTTTGAGTTTTTCTTATAGTTGGTGTCATATCTTTAAAATAATCGGGTTCCATTTGTTCCAAAGGATTTTGCTGAGCAGCCACATTCCCATTGCCACCTTCAATCTTCACACTGGTAGGTGCATCTTCATCCCATGAAGACCAGTCTTCTACTTCCGGCTGAACAAAAGTATATGGTAGGAGTTAGTATTATCTGCAAGTAAAAACTTGTGGTTTTATATCTTGCTAAGATACATTCTTAATATTAGATAGCATATATAATAATATTATATCTTTCTAAGGCATGTACCAATCCTGTTGTAGGATTCTGGTGTAATTACTCTGTTAAATGATGATCTATTAAAGCCACCTACCACTTAAGCAATTACCTGTTTAGGAACTGATGAATAATCCACTGTGGTTGGCAAAGTTATTTGGTCTCCACTTAACTTTCGCCCTCTTCCAGACCTGAAAGAAAAATGTAGGATTCCTCCAAGCTCTGAAAACATGAGCACTAAGTTTAAAAAAAACAAAAAGGAAGTCTGAGAACAGCACTACTGAAAATAGTCATGGCTAAAACATTAAGACCCTAAGCTACCTTAGTATTAACTACTGCCAGTAAAAGTCTGCTAAACAAAGGAATTTCATCATTAATTTCAAAGTGCAATTTACTTTTCAAACTGCAGGGAAACACGAGAAGAAGCAACTCTAAGAAATATGAAAACGGACAAATTAACTCAGTTATTTGCATACAGTCAGAATTTTTAGACAGTGCTTATGAAGCTGACAGGGGGGCATTTGTTCAAAGATGACTGTTTCTACCGTAAACTGCAAAATCTTTCTACTTGTCTTAGATGTTAAACCGTGTCTAACTAATTGCTTCCTGAGCTACTTGGTTTGAAAGCCACTCTGAAGCACTTTTTCCTTCGAAGTCTCAACAGAGGTAGTATAACACTTGGCAAGTGAGCAGCTTCTGTTCAATACATACTTCTACTTATGTGAAATGCTTTCATTTAAAGAGCATTCTCAACATCACATCAAATAATTTTAACTGAAAACAAGCACTAATGCATTGCAAATAAAACACCTAGGTATTTACTTCATAACAGTGTTCAAAGATCACAATCATACTTAAAATACTTTTTGCTGACATTCACTATATTTCAAAACCTTTCAATACAAGATGAAAATCCAGGCGTACAGTCATGTTTTGCTCAAGGAATGTAAGCTTCTACAGCAAGACAGTCATATAACTGACCTTATGCAGCTTGGAAAAGTTAAGTTTTTTATTACTACTGATGAGAATAAATTTGGGAAACTACAATTTGGAGTTTGTATCCCTTACTAGAATGTTCTATAATAGAAAAACTATCAACTCAGAATAGCTGAATTGCTTGTAATGCTGCCTCTGCTGCATACTGGTAAGTGATTAGATATATTTTCCCTACTTTACTAATAGAATCTTCCTTAGAAACGATCAGGTGCTATCATCAAATTTTCTAGCTTTATATAATTAACTCTAGCCCCTTTAGAAACTGTTCCTTTAAGCAGAAAAGCAACACAGATTAGGGGTAAAGGAAGGTGAAAACACTCCTCCCTCAAAGACATTAGAAACTTCAGATTCTGGCTGGCTAGAAAGAGTCTGGTCCCTAACGAAAAACCGAGCTTGGAAACATCCTCCTTCAGACCTGTATAACACACATATCTTTAATACTATTCTAAGTCATCACTTCTGCAATTATACGTATTTCCCTATTTATGTGATCTAGAAAACTCCAGCAAGTGGTTCATACAAGCTTTCATCTAGCAAAAATGATTACACTACCAAGGGTGAGTGTGGGAGGAAACAGCTTCTACCGTACAACACAGAAAGGAATATGCTAGCGAAGGCAGCACTGAGGAAGGCTGCAAATCTCCACTTCTTCTACAAAGGAAACAAGATGCTTATAGGAACGATTGCTTCACAACCATCACTAGATAGATACTGATCACCGCTCTGAATGCCAAACGCCTCAAGAATTCTTGGGTTTGTTTCTCTTTACTAATTAGCAGCATCTAGATTTCTCAGCTGGAGAAGACAATTAAAGATTTTTAATAGAATGAAGTTTCATTTCTTGTTATACCTTGTATTTCCTGGAAACATTGGATCTAAGCAGGTTGTTGTTTATCAAAAAAAGTTTCAACTAAAGATATGACTAATATTACATGTTGGCTTCACACTGCCTAGAAAGATGCACAATTTCTACAGGCACTTGTTCAAATGAAAAATGAATGTAAACTATATAATCCAAATAAGTACTAGCTCATATCCACTGAATTAAAATGCACGTTTAATTAAATCACATTTGCTAGTTATCAGACATACTCATATGCAGGGGTGTATTACAGGAAAACAAAATTTATCAGGCTATGCTTTGCAGCTGACATTAAGCAGGAGAAACCTCTAGAGTTAATGGACTGAACTAATTTGATCCACCAACTTGCTTACGTGAAAGATTAGGTTTTTATACTTTCAGCTACTTGTTATTCACAGAAAAAAGGTTCTCTTACTTTTTACTCCCAAGCACTTCTTCAGCTGTTCAAGGATTCAGTTCATTCAAAAGTTGAAAAATGTAGGATACTGTCATTACACCTACTAAACAATTATCCGCTTATAAACATTACCTTAACACTTAGAGAGATGAAGCGTCCATGTAGCATAGAAGCTATCATCAACTCAGTGTTTTGACTTCTTTTAGAACTTGAACAGCAAGTATTCTTAATTTAATTGGGGATTCAAATCACAGAACTAAGGTTGACATGTGGCATTAAAATTTTATCTTTTTAAAGCTTCCATTAGATCTGTAGTGAACTTACCAACCAGTTGAGAGCTTCCTTTTATTCTTGTAATATGTAGATAAACGCAAAATAAACACTTATTTTGTGTCTAAGGCATATCCTACATATGCTTTAACCTCACTGGCAAAGCAGTAGTTATCATACATAAAAGAAGAATATATTTCTCTAGATTGCTATTTGTTTACATAAAACAACTTTCTGCAAGGGTGGCAGAAGCAACAGTAATTCACATAATAGCACAGTGCCCAGAAGATGTCTCTCAGGTACTCTGCTACTGTACTGTTGAACTCTACTATTATACAGCCCTAACTCTTGAGGGTTTTTTGAACGCTTCTAGAGACTACACTGCTGCATTCATTATTCTACAACTCAAAAGAACGTTAAATATGACTTACAAGAATAAGCAAAAGTAAGTCGTGTTCATGAAAAAAAAATAAAAGCAGTTCCCTTGAACTTTAATCACGGTCCTCCAAACTTTTGAAAAAATCTTGAACAGGCAGAAGAATCTGAAGTCTGAGGCAACTGCATCTTGACAAAGCGGGATGAGAGTCACATTTATAATGAAAGCCGACCAAGCGATGACTGGGCAGATGCTGCCATTAATTGAATCCCTTAAAAACCAAAATATCACTTGCCAAGTACTTCTAGAAAATGCAGAGAACAATTTTTCTTAAAGTTTGACACAGGGTAGCTTTAAAAAGCAATTCTGAAAGCCTGTCACAGCTGTTTAGAAAACACTCCTCATTAGAGCTATCATACCACAAAATACACTCACAACTTCTGAAGGAATATGCAAATTAAAGAATGAATTTGACTTAGTCTTTATGTCTTGATTGTCTTGCAATTAGTAAAACCAGAAATGGAAAAAGCAATGGGTGGATGTTTGGAGAAGGAAAGAAGTGCAAGAACCTGCAATTAAAAAAGCAAAGGTAACCAAATTAAATAAGACTTGTTTACCTGCATATTAACTTTTTAATGAAAGAAAGCACTGCTGCCAGGCAAGTACAGATTTTAAAGAGTCGAAACTGTGTTATGGCCATGGTGAGAAACCCTTCCTGCAAAAGAAAAGAGTTAGATGTAGAGGATTATACATCTTTACACAGTTCTTAAAGTCTATTTCCTTAGTTGCTGATAAGCAAGGAGCATTCTGTGGACATACATTAGTGTGAGGAAAGAAAAGAGGTACCTGAAGCAAAGATGCTGCCTGCCTACTGTCAGGAGATTTCAGTGATGTAAACAATACAAGTACCTAAACGTATATGGCCTCTAAAGAAACAGAGTATAATCATAGGTAAAGTCACAATTAAAGATACTTTTACAGGGGAAGTGGGGGCAATCAATTGCAGTGACTGTACAGCTGATCTATTTTAGACACTAGCAATGGCACTGAACACTAGCAATGCAAGAAGAACAGAATAATCATCAGTAAGAATGTCACACTTGCTTGAGCAAGTCTTGCATATACAAATTATAAATTTAGTCATTGAGTCAAAACTCAAAATTAGCCATTTAAATTTAGTTTCCATTTAGATGGAAATGTATGATGAGAACAAACACTGTTTATTTTAGAACCAGTGTCACTGAAAAATTATCACCAAAGAATGATTCTGTTCATCCTGTGTACACTATAGCACTGGTTAACCCCTAGATCTATCAATATTCCTATGCCAGACTGGATCATACTAGCAAACCCAGCCAAGAAAAAAATCATCTTTGGCTGAAGCCACTTAATGTTGCAGCTACTTTTCAGTGTCAATTTGATAATCTAGAGGATTTATACTCAGTATATCACATTGCAACAAATCCCCTCAAACAGGTACAGACTGAGTCAGAATAATCTGCTGTAATTCAAGGATCCCTTTTCTCTCTTCTACAGGTGAAGATTTCAGAGAAAATAATAAGAGGTTAGACTTCACAAATAGCTTTTCATTATATATATCTACACTTGTAACAACATTTTCTGTTGCAAGTTTAACATACCTCCTGGTGAGAAGAGAAGGCAGCCCTGTGACATTTTCCTCAGGCAATGAGTATTCCATGGAAGGACAGCTTGATTTCAAATATGCTATGGCATTTATATCACTTTTTATATTCCAGGCTTTAAGTTAGGAAGAGTCAGGAAGGTGGATCATTAGGTAGGCTGCTCCAATACTGCCCTGAGGATTTTATTAAAAAGTACATAATGGGATTTGTGAGCTTCATGGAGCTTAAATTTATTTTTTATTGGTGCTCATTTGCTAAATAATGTAACTAGGATTAAACACTGTAGTAATATAGTACTGGAAAGTACTTGCTGCACATACAGTCCAGATCAGGAATTTCTGCTACTGAGAAATCATGCAGGTTGGCTACTAAACAAACAGGCCCTGTTACTGTAAAATGGAAGGCTTAAATCAGTAAGTAACCCCCAAATTACAGACCACACTACAAGCTGTAGTGTGGGAAAAAGGCCTCACAGGACACATTTCACCTCTACTTCAACACTAGTGTTGACTTCATCTCATTTCATGAGAGATGTAAAAAATTTAGAGAAGTTTATACAAGAGTAGGTATTAAATGGGCTCTTCATCTAATTGGAACAGGAAACAGTCAAACTTCCCACAAAGAAGCAAGAATGGCAGACACCATCCAACACATCCAGCTTTCAGTTTTAAAGCTAGGACTATCATTCTGTATTGTGCTCAAGCACGTCCTTACTTTCTGGAATAAGCAATTTTGACAATATCTAGGTGACAGGAGAAAGCGTGAGTCGAGAATTAGAACAATGCAGAAATAGTGGAAGTTAGTGAAAAAACAATGGGTAGTCACTAGAGGGACAGTTCTCTATTCTAAAGGTAGAAATTATTGCATTAACGCTGAATTGGTGGAAGAAATACTTTTAAAAAAGGCAGCTAGAAGCCAGCTACCTGGGATTTGAGGTATGAAGAGCAGGTGACTTGCTGAAATGAGAATAAAAGCATAGCTTTTCTGAAATGAAGCTTGCTTAGAAGCTCACTCCACTCTACCAGAAATCACTCTTCTATCAGCTTGGGGGGCAGGAGTAGCAAAGCACTCAATGTTAAAAAGAGTAAAGCCATTTTCCCCACACTTCAGCCTAATGGCCACATTAGACGGTCTAGCCAGATCCTAAATTAAAAACCAAACTATTGATTGAAAAGGTCGTTTTAGGAACCAACAATTACTCAAAACCAAAAACCTCTGCAGACAATATTATTTCTGCCTAAGTTCAAATGACTAGGAGGTTTACTGCATAAATGCAAAACTAAAACCAAAACAACTTTAAAGTCTGTCAGTTACATATGTACACATATGTAAATATGTGTACATATATATAAACCACCATTTTTTCAACTCATCTCCATTTTTTTATATATCAAATTGTATACTGTATTGATTTCTCAAAATAAAGTTAAACAACTAAAAAACCAGAATCCACAAGAAGTTTAGCTTGCAAGCTTGTGAAGTCCACCACTGACAAGAGTTAGCCGCCAGAAGTTAATCCATTTTTCCCAGGTCATTCCTATATACGAGTGACTACAGTTCCAGTATCACCAGTGTGCCCGTTTGGCAGGGTTCAATAGCTACTGTAATTCCCCATAACAATTGGGTAACTTGTCCCTTTCCACTTTCTACGTGTCATGCCAAAAGTTCAGAGTTATGATGAGAGAGACACACACACAATCACATAATGTACTTGTGGTAGAGCTGCATTTCACTTCAACTGTGTCAGCGCTCGGCCCTTCCAGACAGTAAGCACTGTTTTCCCTGCCCCTCCTCTGAGCTCTGACTGTAGTCTTCTCGATTGAGTTAAACTCTGTACACTGCAAATTGTCAGTCACAATCAGAGTTTTGGCAACGATACACTATCAGCTACCCACAGTAATATTAGCAATCACCCACCTTTAAGAAGTACTTTTGTCAGTTTAGCTGGTTTTTATACTGCTAATTAAGATAGGAAGCAATATATTTATATTAATTTTAGCAAGGTGCTAAAAGCTGTTTAAAGTAGAATCTTGAACTAACTATTGGTTAAAGATTAGGACAAGTCAAGCCTTCTCAGTGTCTGAAACAGCACTTGAAGCATTTGCATTGCTGCTCTAAGGCCAGCACTACCCAAAAAGAAAAGTTGAAGGTAAGCTAAAGATTTTGAGTTTTGTTTGGTGCCCTTTGGGAGAGAGGGGGTTGTGTTTGTTTGGGGTTTCTTTCTAAGTAAATTAACTAATAAATTTTCTCAAAGGTAAATAAGTCTATATTCTGAAGCATTTGTATGAATACAAATGCACATGGAACATTAATATTTCTTAAATTCACTGAAAACTTAATTTGCCTGATACCATTACACTAAACTTGTTAAGTGAAACAAAGTGTTTATTCTTTTTTTGTCCATCTTTCTCAAACACTGGAAAGAAGCCCAGACATGTATCTTCCTTATCTCATGAACGGGAAAAAATGCTGAACAGTGTAATGCTAAATGGCAGGGCCACCACCTTCTTTCTTCCTTTTCTTCGCTTAAGCCTTTCCTTGATAATCAATCCCCAAAGCAACTGCAACTATATCAGCAGCCAAGTATGATGCAGACGACACAAAGGCATAATACCAAGTGGCAGTGCTCCATCAAGAATCCCAGAATATTTCTTAACAGATGGAGGCAAAAATGAAACACTGGAGCAGAATTCAGAAAACCCAATAGAGTTGTCCATCAGCCTGATACAGCACCTTGTGCCTCAGCTGCCCACTTGCAAAACAGGACAGAGCTCTCCTTCTCCCATTACTGAGATTACTTCTAATGTATTACATTTATCAGACTTACTGTCAACTGAACTTTTAAGTTACATAACAGATATAAATAAGCAAATAAATCAGGACATGAATCCTAATTAATTTAATTCTAGCAGCTGATACAACAATTTTGGAACAGACGCCAAATTCAGCTGGAGTTTGACTTGCATAGCTCATGCTGCCTTGTGTTAGTATAAAGTCACAGCAGCTGCTCACATGGAAGATGAGCAGAGACTGGATTAAAGCATGGCAGCAGCAAGACGTTAAACATATTAGAGCCAAGTCAGAAGAATGAGGCAACTTATCTCTGAAAACATTTTATGGATCCTTAAACAAAATACAGTGAATGAAAGAAAAGTTCAGAAGTTTATTGAACGGAAACATCTTTACATTGCTTTCAGCTTGCAAGAGCGGCCTTGTTAGAACTCCTGGCACCTCTGACTTCACTGACACTAGCCAGCAAATTGTTTGTGGCACACACAGTCCCAGCCAAGCTAGTCAACTATGGTGCGGTAAGTAAGACTCTCACTGGCCATCGCTGTACAATGAGCACATTGTCACCTAGAGAAGCACTTCCTCTTTCATACCTAATTGCACACACAAACATCACTTCAACAATATTTCAAGAGACAGCCTATTCTAAAATAAAGTCACTTGGTGGCTCTAAAATTGCTTTAGAGACTTGTTTTCTCCTGGTGAACTCACCTGCAACTGTCAGTGAAAAAGATACCAAAACACTCATATTATATAGAGCACCCACCCTGCTCTCCACTGTTCCTCTACAATACTGACTGATTTGTACTGTGTAGTTTTCTTTAGGTATCATCATCTTCAAAATGGAATTTCTGCCTTGAATTACAAGTGCTTTGTGAATTGATTACTTTTTCTTTCACATCAGCTCATCTCTGACTCTGGAATGAATATATGAAGCCATCTTGGAGACAGTGATTTTAACTTGTATTAAAGACAGCCAGACAGTCTGAAACAGAAGGGTTCCCCAAGAACTGCACATCTACCTAAGTAGTCATAAAAAAAGCCTCACCTTCCTAAATCAAAATGAGGAATCCACTCCCTAGTAAAAAAGATTAACATGGCCTTGAGTGCTTACAGATGTGTGGCAGTGTGCACCAACCTGGCCTTCACCTCCTGTAACTCTGCCCAAGCGATAACCACCTGTGGTGGTCATAATGGGTGCATCTAGTGGCAGCATCTGGGGCTCCATGTGGTTTCTGAGGGACAGATAACACAATAGCCAAGGGCTAACTTGAGCAACACTGGTACTGAGGTTCTCCCCTTGAGTAGGGACGTCTCTCAAGGTTACTTCTTGAGATTCAGAGATTCCTTGCCACAACAGATCCTATTAAGTGACAAAGAGCATGCTAAACTTTGAAATCTTAGCTAAGTGATATGAAGGATTGATTGTGCATATATAATCCTTTAGACATAAACCATCGACCAAGTCTGGGCCTAGGATTGGATCCAGACGTACCCAGATCCCTCTCTAAGAAGGACTTAAAAAGCAAGAAGGTCCTTTCTGAACCTTGACTCAGTGGGAGGGCCTCCTGGCAGTTCTGACTGACCCTGTTCTCTGTGCAGTAAATAACCAAGTGTGCCTTGCCATCAAATCTTGTTAAAACAGTGTCAGATTTACCATCAAACTTTGTTAAATCCCTGTTTTATATCAATAAATGTATCACTGCTTCTTTCTACGAGTGAAGTGCGTTGCTCCGTCTGTGACAATCTGTCAGCACCAAATCCCCACAAAAGCACCACTAAACCAGTATGGTTTCACTAGAACAGCTAATAAAAAACAGCATCTCATGCATTTCAAAGACAGCAACCATGATTCTGTAGCCTGCTGAGAAGGTTCCACTCCCATTTTCCTGGTTGATTTCTGTGTTTGTTTGGTTTTTGTTTGCTTATGTATTTTTAAATCACCTTATATAGAAATATAATATTGGGATCACTGAGGGAGGAGGAAAAAACTTACTGAGTCTGATAAATAGAAAGATTAAACAGCAGCATTACTGAACCTTGAAGCCAGGCTACCACAGCACTAGAGAGAGGTGCAGAATCCAAAGATAAGATTAAGAGGCATCCCCTCGATCTAACTATAGGTAGGTGACTGGGGGATATCTGTAAAAGGCACTGTAGTATCAGTACTAATGCTCCAACTTCCAGTGCAAGCACCCTAACTAGGCATTTGTGAGGTAGCTGGGAGAGAAGACTACTCTGCCTATGATTTATGGGAGTTGAGCTAAATCATCCAAGGTGCTCAAATCCAGGCAGAGATTTCAAGAGTATCAGGAGCTACAAAAGATATCAAAATTCAAGAAGGAATGTTTGTCTTTCTAACTGAAGGCAGTAAAAGTTGGTGGTTCCTAAGCTGTTCCTGGACACCCAACACTCTTTTACACAACGTATGGAATTTCAATTTTTTTTTTTTTAAATGTGTACTTCTAGATCCATAAAACTTCTATAGTAATACTACCTCATCTCACCCCTTAACATATAAGAAACTGAACATAGTTCCAATTTAATAATTATTAATTTAATAATATTTAATTAATAATTAAATATTATTAAATATTAAATAATTAATTAATAATTTAATATTCCAAGTTAATAATGTTAACTCTTGAAGCTTTCTGTTCTGAATAAGTCTTATTTTCAAGGCAATGTCAGTTAAAAATAGAAAGTTTTTGTCCACTGACTAATCAGTCATTGACAATTCCTGATCTATATAGGCTACTGCCCCCTGAAAACAGAGAGAACTTAGAGACTGAAGTCATGCAATCCCATGATACTACACTACAATTTTGTTCACACTTTCAAGTAGTCTTTGACATAATGCATTAATTCATGTAACTGGCTTCACAACACTGGAGAAGTTCTCATACACAGAACCAGAGTTTAGGAGACCACAGTTCTATTCCAGTCCTTATCAGTCATCCTGGATTTAAGTTACCTGTACCTGCATGGAAAGCCAGAGACAACAAATTAACACACTCTCACTGTTACTACCACAAAATCATCTTGCAACATCAGTTGTCTCAACAAGCACCACTTATTTACAATCAAGATACACTACAAGACACACTGTGCAAGATGGCTTAAAGAAAGCTCTATAAGGCACATCTGTACTTCTATAAAGCTGCAAGCTATACTATTTTTCATTAGATGTGCAACTAAGGCACTTACATTGTGGATTCATGACCATGAAACAGTGCCCCACCACTCCACATAACAACCCAGGCTCAAGTGTTTAAATTAGCTGCAGCACCGAATCCAGACGGTAGCTCTTAAGTTTTCTGTGACCTGTTAGAGATTCTTAACTCCTTAAGGGTGTACTAAACAACTTTCATTTTAACTTCTATGCAATTTGTCAGTCAGCATGAACAAAGAAAAATTTCAGACTAGGTAACCCCACACAGTGCCATCCCACAGAGACCCTAGAAACACCCAAAAAAAGCCCTTAACACCACTCCCCCTCAACTCTGACAGGACATGCTCTCCCCCGCCCCTCCTTTTTCCACAGGATGCCAAAACTCCCAGCCCCAAACGCTGCCTATCTACTCGTCACTCACTTCATGTACTTCCCAGCCCGGGAGACTTCCACCACCCCGCTCCTGCCCGCCACGGAACGGGCCCGGACCAGCCGGGCAGGGACACGGGGCAGCCGCAGGCCTCTCCCTCCTCAGGGACGGCCGGGCAGGCCCGCCGCTGGGCGAGGGCCGGTGGGGCGCAGGTGCGGCGGCTGCCACACCGCCCCAGGGCGTCCCGAGCTCGGAAAGGGCCAGAGGCGCAGGCGTTACCGAGACGGAACCGCCAGGGCCTGCCCCGCGGCGGGAAGGGGCCGAGGCCGGGCCCCCTGCCCAGCACGAAGCGGAAGCGGGCACCGGGCGGCAAGGGACCCCCCCCCCGCCGCTCACCTGCCCGAGAGGGAGGGGTATCCAGAGGGCACGGGGCGCCAGGGGCCGAGGCGGCCGCTCCCGCAGCCGCCGCCCGTC